GACTAGGTGTGAGACAGTAGCACCTGGGCGTCGAGAAGATTGGAGCCGCTGCTTGTCGTCTGGTGGCATAGTTACTGAGTGGGGGCAGATGCGAGGCCACATTTCTTTACTGCAGTGAGAGGAGGAATAACAAACTCGGGGGTGAAATTGGATGACTACAGGGATCTGTTCAACCAGATCAAATGTGCTGCGGGGCACAGAAGCCTGCAAGGGGCACGATTCCGTGTCCGTAAGCTGAATGGCTGGAGCACTTAGTCGTTAATAGATGAACAGACTGTTCTAAATGCCAGCCCACCGACAGGCACTGGGCACCTGCCGTGGACAGTGGCAGGAGCGCCAAGTTCCCAGGGTACCTGGAGGGGCTCCCCGCCCTGAGCCCAAGCCCTGGAAAGTGGATCTGCTTCCTCGCGGAGCCCCTGGACGGGGGTGGGAGGGCAAATAGCTGAAAGAAACCAGAGCATCATTAGGAAGGAGGAAACGACTGCTAGGTGAGCATCTGTGATGCTGCACGGGGCAGTTGGACTCGTGCATTCATGTGTTAAAACCTGCACATAGTAGGCACCTGCACACACAAACCCACACATACCTACACACCTGTAGGGACACGCTTCGTGGGAGACAGCATATCGTCATCCTGGGTAAATTTCAGGCCTCTCATGGAGGGTCTCTATCCCCACCTCCAACTCTCCATCCTTGATTTCTCCTTGGATCTCGTGACTGACGGTCCCATCTCCAAGGTCAGACATGGCGTACTCTCTGACCACAGACAGTCCCTTCCACTCCCTCACCCACTGACTCCCACAGCTCCTCTCCTTGACCTCATGGACACCCAGGAAGCTAGTATAGCCCAGTGGTTAGCAACGTGGACCGCACTTCCGTTCTGCCACTTGCTAATTGGGCCAAATACTTAAATACCTCTGTGACATGGGGGTGGGAACTAACCTCACAGGGCTGTTGGGAAGATTAAAGTCACACATGAAAGATGCTTAGGACATAGGACACGCTTAATAAATATCAGCTCCATACAACACATCTGTTACCCAGACCCTTGTCCTCCAGTCAGCCCCTCTCATTTTTATTTCCTGCCTGTTCCCCGTTAGAGTCCCCGGTCCATCTGTCGCCAGTGTCGTGTCTCTGCTCTCTCCCTCAAACCTTATTCTTCCCTCATACTTCCCTGGCAAATGCTCAGCTTTGAACCTACCCAGCTTTCTTCATGCCAGTGTCTAGGTCGCTAGAAAAAAATCAACTAGGCAGGTGGCTGCTACACTAACTTCAGACCCTGTGGCCTCAGCTGGACCCCTAATGCTCCCTGGTGTCCCTGTTCCTGGTCAACTGTCATTCCTGTTCTGCAGAGAAGCAGTTTCCTCCAGCTTCCATTCCTTCCCTCCCCACACCCTCTATTCCTCGCAGATCATTTGACCTCCTAATTCTCAGAAAAGAATAAAAATCAGACTGGAACATTCCAAACCACCACCATCTCTTATCCCCCTCCGCCAAATCCACAGATATGTCTGCGTCCCCGCCCAGTCTTCCCTGCTCCTGCAGCGGGGAGAGGGTCTCCCCCTTGCGTGTTGGGTTTTAATCCCTCCCGTCATCTCAGATACCTTGACTCTCCAGCGGTCTCCATCTCTCCTGCGTTTTCAACCCCTCTGTCTATAGCGTCTCTTTCACATCAGCATTTAAACAAGTCTCTGACATCTTATAACACACTCTCCTTCAATCCCACAACCTGTCATCCTGTTCCATTCCATCCTATTCATCTCGGCTCTTCCTCGCAACTCTCTAATTTGCTGAGAGTTGTAAACACTCACCATCCCCCTTTCCTCACCTTTGACTCATTTTCCAACCCATCCAACTGATCTCTGCTCCCACCACTCTCCCGAGAGTCTTCGTTGCTAAGTCCAGTGAATTCTCTGTTGTGGATGCTCGTTGCTCTCTCACCTGACCTCTTAGAAGGCGCTGATGCTGCTGATGCTGCTGATGCTTGCTCTTTAGGACGCGCTCTCCCCTTGCTCCCGGGGCTACTCCTCGGCCCGAACCGCCCAGCCCTTAAATATGGCTGTTTCTCTGGATTCTGTCCCGACCGCGTCTTTACTCAGCGTACGCTCTCAGGACAGTCTCACCTGCCCTTGTAGCTTCGGTCGCCATCTTACCAGTGTGAAGGTTCCCGGATTGGTTCCTCCAGAATAGTCTCGCTCGTAAACTTCAGAATTGTTTATATAGCTGCCCGCTGGCATCGCCACTAAGATAACTCAGGCATCTTAAAATCAGCACTCCCAGGCCCACCGTTCCTCCTTGCGAGGGCGAGTGGCAGTGCCACCACCCTGCTGCCCAAGGCGAAGGACCTCGAACACTGACTTTGATGCCCCCTCTCACACAGACTTCATACCCAGACCATCACCGAGTCTTATAATTCCGGTAAGGTGGAAAGAGCGTGGGTCTTGGGTGAAGTTCTCATTCTAATTGTGGTTTGGACAAATCACTTAACCTTTCTCAGCCTCAAGTTTCTCACCTGTAAAAAGGAAACAGTGATACCTAATTCCAAGGGCTGTGGTCAGGGCAAAAGAAACCCTTTGCTCGGCGGGCATTCGATAAACGTGAGTTTTCCATTCAGTAAGTTATTTCCTCTTCATTCCCTCCCTCCGCCCCCAGACCTCTACTCACGTGCCTTGTTGTCGAATTAGGGTACACGTAGTTTCTCGACCTTGAAAATCCCCCTGGAATTAAATTTCCCGCAATCCCTTCATGACTAAGGCCCACAGCTCGTATCCCGTCATGCTTATCATGAAGAATTTGGAAAACGCGAAGAGAGTTGAGCCATCCCTGTCACTGTTTTGCCGTCGTTCCTTCCAGTCTGTCTTCTATGCGTCTTTGTCCTTATTTACATGGTGTTCCTGTGTGTAACAAGTACGCATCCTGCTTTTCTCCATCTAACCCGGATTTTTCCCTAGGTTAGTAATTCTTTATAAACAGTGTAAAGCCTGCATTCTGTTCTGCATATGACTGTGGTATCGCTTATTTAACCATTCTGCTAACGCCGGTCTTTTAGAGCCTTCCCAGTAAATAATACTCTGGTGAACAATTTTGCAAAAAAAAAAAAAAAACAAAAAAACTTTTCCTCCTACATTTATAATAATGTTTCTAAGCCCGAAATTCATAACTTGAATCACTGAGTCAGAGGATTTAAAAATTTCTAAGCAGTACGATCTTTGAAACAGACTAGGTGAATATAGGCCTGGCCTCCGCTGCAAAGAGGGAGGTAAAGAGAAAAGTGTTATAATTAGTAGGTTTTTAAAAATAATTATTTTCTGTTTCTGAAAGAGA